CAGAGCCCCGGAGCCAGGGTTTACCTTAGTGTCTGACTCCAGAGCTGACGCCACTGTTTCGCAGCACCCTGCAGCCTTGCAGATAACTAGGGGAGGGCGCACGCCCAGAAGGGCATCTGTTCAGCAAACGTAAGCACTCTGCAAGCCCTGGGCCTACAAGAATGAAGACGTGGTCTCCTTAGGCCTCCAGGATCCCACAGTCCAAAGCAAGAGCCTGTGAAAACAGTGTACCTGGTGTTGTGATGGAGACATGCATGAAATTGATTATTCATGATAGGGGGCACTCTGGGATGCAGAAAGGAAGGCTTCCTGGAGGAGGTAACACAGGTATTTACAAAGAAAAATAGGGTAGGAAAGGGATCAAGAAGCAGAGGGAATGCCATTAGCAAAAAAATCCAGAGTTCAGAAGCCATCGGAGAAGACATACTGTGTGAGGAAGTGGTTGGCTGAGAGTTAGGGGGAGAGCAAGGAGGGCGGGGGAGGGGGAAGTCATTTTTTTGTAAAAGAAAGTTCGGGTGAACTGGGTCTTCACTTAAAAGAGAAAGCCTGAAGGAGTCTCCTCACTCCTGACCTTCCTCAGGTGACCAACACCAAGAAGGAAACCCGCTTCCAGTGGTTCTTCCAGAAGAGAGAGTTCCCCGCTGGTCAGTACGACCCGCAGACTGGAGCAGGGCTTCTCTGCATCGAAGAGGTGAGCACAGCCCTGACTTGAGAGCTCATGGAGTTGCGGGGCCAGGAGCTCTGGGCAGGGAATCAGGGCCAAGGCGAGGCGAGTGAGGCACTAACCTCATGCACGCACTTTCAGGGAGCACCAAAAAGCTCAGTAATCAAGATAAATAATATTTTAGGCAGTAAGTAAGTAAAGTCGCTCAGTCGTGTCCGACTCTTTGTGATCCCGTGGACGGTAGCCTACCAGGCTCCTCCATCTGTGGAATTTCCTAGGCAAGAGTACTGGAATGGGTTGCCAATTTCCTTCTCCAGGGGATCTTCCTGACCCAGGGATCAAACCCAGGTCTCCGGCATTGCAGGCAGACACTTTACCGTCTGAGTCACCAGGGGAGCCCTTTTCAGGCAATAGTAAGAATCAAATTAATGCCAAAATAGAAGACCATGGGGGAAAACAATATCAAAATTGTAAATAAAGACAGGCTCAGTCATACTGATTTTTCCTTTTCGTTGGATTCCAGTCCTGGCCCTGCCCCTGACTGTGTGGCCCTGGGCTAATCACTGTCCCTCTCTGACCTCAGTTTTTACCTGTAACATGAGAGGGTCAGGCAGGATGCTGTCTCAGAGATTCCTTCCTGCCGATGCAGCCTCAGATTCAGGGCAGGAAGACTGTCTCCATGGGAGGCAGTTCTGGGCATAGCAAAGCAGGCCTGGAGCTTACCTCTCCCACCCACTTCCTCTCCATGGCCCTCAGAGGAGTGTGACCTGGATAAGATAGAAATACAGAGCCCATTCTTAAATAGTCAATGTTTTTCTGCCCTGCCACTGATTTCTGTGGCCCGTGTGCCAAGGAGAACTGCGCAAACGCAGGTTTGCTGACAAGGAAAGAACTAATGATGTCAGGGTCCTCGCCCAAATCTCAGCCAAAATAATGAGAAGTGGGCCTTTGTCATCACAGTTCAGGCCCTTCCACAGGGCTTGGCATCAAGGAGGTGCTTAACTGCTACTGAGTCTTGTCATAATCATCTGGCCTATTGGTGTGAGAACTTTCTGGCTTCCAAAAAGTTATCTCCCTTGATCCTCATGGAAACTGTAGCATGTGGTCAGGGCAAAGTTTATGCCACCATTTTACAGATGCATAAACTGAGACTCAGAGGGTGTAAGTACCAAGATGCAAGGCTGGAGAGTGGACCCAAAATTCTCTCCAATCACCCTCCACAGAATGTGGCTGGGGCTTTGGAGCGTTCACTGAAGCAGCGGGGAGGGAACAGAGGAGAGGACTGTTGGGGTTTCAGTCCTTTGATTCCCGGGTTAAGAGATGCTTCTTGAGGAGTAGGATAGGATGGGTGGGAGGTTCGCGAGGGAGGGGGCATATGTATACCTATGGCTGATTCATGTTGATGTATGGCAGAAACCAATACAATATTGTAAAGCAACTATCCTCCAACTAAAAATAAATAATTTTTTTTAAAGAAATGTCTATGCCTCAGATCCTGCCTCAAAGCATGCTATGTGGAGATGGTTGCAAGGGGCCCTTTGACAGGTCAGGGAGGCAGATAGCGCCCTGCCCCGCCCCCCAGCCCTTGGAGGAGGTGCTGTGTAATGAGAGGGCACAGTTGACCTCTGACTTTGCTTTGAAAGCACAGCCCAGGTTCTTGCTTTGCTGAGTGTTGACCCAGGCTTATCGAGGTTGACAAGCATGTGCCAATAAGGACCCCCTTGCCCTAAGCAAAAGAAAGCACACCTCTTCTGAGAGATGCAGAGAGATGCCCCTCTATCCCGGGCCCCCCAGAAGCAGGGCAGCTCTGGTGGAGGGTGCCCCGGCTCAGCCCAGCTCTGCAAGGAGGACTGTCTGCTCTGCTCAGAGCATCGGACTCAGAATCCCCCTGGGGGAGGGGAGAGGGGGAGGGGAAGTCTGTTTCTGCCCTCAGGTCCGCCTCCCTGCCCCACCTCTGGGCCCAGACAAGCCGAGAGCTTGAATCAAAGGGCTCTGGACCTGGAAGGAGCCAGAGGTGGCCCATCACAGGGGGGTAAACTGAGCCCCGGCAGGAGAGTTAGGGGCAGGCCCGGAGCCCAGGCCTCCTGATTTGCTGTCCATTGCTCTTTCTGGAACCCATGCCGATACCGCTGTCTCTCCTTCCTTCCAGCTGTCCAAAGAGGACCAGGGCGTTTACAGAGCGGAGGTTTCCGATGATCGCGGGGAGGACGACACCATCCTGGACCTCAGAGATGAAGGTAGGAGCTGGCGATGTCAGAGATGGCCCAGGAAGTCTCTCGCTGAACCAAGAGTTGCAGTCTGTCATCCCTGTGTCACTGGGGGCAGCTGAGTCCCAAGGGGGTTAAGTGACCTACCCATGGCTGCACCGCAGGTCAGGGCCAGGGAGGGCCTGGCCTGTGTGATGCTGGAGCCCACGCTCACTGCCCTGCCCCCCAGCGAGCCCAGGGTTCGTGATGTGGAGCCTGGGTTCTCTGCTCTGCCCCACAGTGGGCCCCAGGGTCCTCACCAGGCCGGCAGCCTCAGCCTGCAGGAAAATTGTCAGGTCAGCCCATCTGTCCCCCGTCTGTATGGCCCCACCCCATCCTTCATGGAGTGCCCTGGGTCCCCTCCTCGCCCCTACGCCTGTGTCCTGAGAGCTGCTCATAAGCTCCACCAGCCTTTTCCAAGGCCAAGCCCACCCTGGTGCATCCCTCGGGGAGCCCCCCATATCAGCTGACCGTTCCATCTTCTCCCTCCAGCCCTGGATGCCATCTTCACTGAGCTGGGCAGGATCGGTGGTAAGCAAGCCCCCCACCCCTCTTTGCCCAGCCCTGATCTGATGCCACATAGCCTCCGGGGGGCCTCCAGCCATCCTTGGCTGCCAGGGTGGGGTGGGTTTAGACTCCAACCTCAGAGACTGTGGTGGGGGGGGACGTTCCTGCCCCGTGACCACACTCGCCTTCCCCCCACCGCACCCCAGAGCAGGGGCGAGCTGGCTGCCCCCCAGCTGTGATGCCCAAAGGGCCTTGGGGAAGACTCAGCCTTCTCAAATCCAGGGGACGGAGGAAGGGATCCGGCTCTTCAGCAAGGTCAAGTACTACAACGTGAAGTACATGAAGACCACCTGGTTCCACAAGTAGGCTGGCCTTGCCCTGGAGTCCCTGGAGGGAGGGGGCCAGCACCCACACCTGAGCCCAGCCGCCCCCCCAGCCCCAGTCCACAGAGGGAGCCCAGGAAGGGAACAGCTGTCAGAGGCACAGAAGGGAGGCTCCCCAGGGAAGGTGGGACCCCTGGTGCTGAGAACATTTTCCCAGTGTCTCCATGACCACAGGAGGACCGTTGTCTTAGAGCAGCACCTGGGAACTGAGGGAGGGAAGGACTCAGGAAGGAAGGAAAACCAGGTGGTCAAGTGGGTCGTGGTGCCCTTGTGGGTTTCTGCAGCCTCAGTGCACTCAGGCAGCCAGGCTGAGGGGAGACAGGCAGGCAGAGGCACCTGGGGAGCTGACAGCTAACAGGGCCAGGCCTTGAAGGCAGGATCAGGCATCGGGGACTCAGCCAGAGCTAAGTGACCCCAGAGAGTCTGGGAGCAGAATTTTCCCTTATGTGCATACCTCAGCCTCGTGAGGCAGACATTACTGCACCCATTCTATGGAGGAGGCTAGACTGATTTAGTCAAACTTGTCTTGTGAGTAAGACCAAGGCCAAGTTGAATTTCAGAACAATAAAGCTCTTTCCCTGGAGTCTCTGAGCCCCGTGACTAAGCCCAGAAGTGTTGCTTTTGCAGCACTGGGGGCATGGGCCAGGTGTCTTTAGGTATGAAATTTAAGTAAAGAAGGAAGGGAGTGTATACAGTTTGTAAGAGCCTGGGGCCAGTTATTGTGGGAGGAGCTCCTGGGAGGTTTTGAAGATGAGGAGAATGATGAGGTGAGGAAGTGGCTCCCGTGGGTAGGATGGAGGGAGGTGGCCACTGATCCTGGGGCACCATTTTCTCAAGGTCCCAGCCTGCAGGACATGTCGCAAATAGAGATTCAACACGGGCACAAGCTTTGATGAATGATGAATGGATGAGTGGGTAGATACTTATCGAATGTCTCATGGATGGTCAGCCCACACATCTGGAAACAAAACCCCAGGAGAGGAGTCTGGGGCAGGGGTGCCTACAGCTGGGCAAGCAGCCAGCCTGTCCTGGGCACCGCGCTGTTAACCATTTCTTTGCCCTCACGTTCAGAGAGAAACGCCTGGAGAGTGGTGATCGGGTGAGGGCTGGTACCACCTTGGATGAGATCTGGCTCCATATCCTGGATCCCAAGGACTCAGACAAGGGCAAATACATCCTGGAGATCGCAGCTGGGAAGGAAGTCAGGCAGCTCTCCGCCGATCTCTCAGGGCAAGGTGATCTCTCCACCCATCTGTCCTTGGGGGAAACCTGTTTAGAAAACCCCAGTCTTTGGTGGGGGTACTCCCATCTCCCCACCCAATCCTAGCACTGCCCCCAAGAGAATGCTGGAACTGAGAGGAGGAACAATCACAGCTGAGCTTTGTACCTTCAGCTTGCAAAGGTCAGGGAGATGGAGTAGAGGGTGGGTAGGGGGATGCTCTGACGCAGCTATTCCCCTTTTCCGTCTCACAGCTTTTGAGGACGCCCTGGCGGAGCACCAGAGACTGAAGTAAGTTCCCTTGGCGGCGTTTCCCAGTGTGATCGAGGCCCCTGGGGCACACACACAGCTGGCTGGAGGTGCAGCTGGCTGGATCCGCCTTTCCCCCACCACCCCTCCCCCAGCCCCGGGCAGGACTATCCTTTAACAATCTGTTAAGCCCTTTTCCCATTTCTGTTTTCCAGAGCCTTGGCCATCATCGAGAAGAGTAAGTCCAGCCATGTTTCCGCGGTTTCCTTTTCTGAGTTGCGGGTGACTTCCCAGCTGCTCACAGCTCCTGGCAAGGCAGCTGGAGCCCCGGTTGCCCAGCTGTGTGGCTCTGGGCTGTCACAGAGCTGCCAGGAGACCTGGGCAGCCGCAGCATGAAGACAGGTGGATAAGGAGTCCGAAGATCTGAGGCCGTGGGTGCACCCAGCATCCAATCAGCTGATGTCAGAGGGACTCCGAAGGCAGGGGTGGACGGGACCGAGGCTGCACTGGCCCTTTTGATCAAGGCCTGGGAGCAGACGACTTCAACGCTGAACCTGGTTCTGGCTGTCTGGGCACTAGGACCTCATCTAATCCAGGACACAGCCTCTGAGCTGCCCAGGGGCACCACCAAGTCCATGCGCTGGAGCTTCATCAGGTCCCCACAGCCAGTGCTAAACCACCCCGTTCTGGGAGGCTGGCTTTCTGGTCCCACTGACCCAGCAGTCACTATGGGACTTTTCAAGAGGGAAAGACCCCAGGCAGCAGAGCAAAGCTGCTCCAGACAACCTGAGAAAGGAAACCGACCATTTGCGGTCACGTGTAGGAGGAGGGATTAACCCTATTCGGCTTCTTGTTCCCGAATGTCCCCACTTGGCAGGAAGTGCAGACTGTTCGTAACTGAAATCTGGAAGGGGGTTGGTCATCTGTGGTCTAAGGGCAGTGAGGAGCCCTCACAGGGGGCGGCCACCTTGGTGAGAGGACCAGAGGCTGAAGACCCGACTCAGCCCATCACATCTCTGTCTAATTACTTCCGTCCCACAACCCATCCTGGGATTCTGAGTCGCACACCCACCCCAGGGCCCTACCAGCAGGAGCCTGGACTCACCATTTGTGGTCGCCGGGACTTTTGAAGTCCAGAGTCTAGGGTGATGGATTGTTGCCTGGTGAACATTAAGCCCACATGAAGGTCCATCTCTCCCCCTCCCCCCAACCTTGATCCAGGGTCCTTCTCCCCTACATCCATTGCGGACACCAACCACTTCAAGGGTCTTTGCATATCCCCCCAGTCATGATCCAGGGGCTGTTCCCACAGTCTCAATTTCAGCATAAGGGATATGTTGGCTTTCTGCTTAGTGATTGGAGAAGGAAATGGCAATGCACTCCAGTATTCTTGCCTGGAAAATGCCATGGATGGAGGAGCCTGGTAGACTATAGTCCATGGGGTCACAAAGAGTCGGACACGACTGAGCGACTTAACTTTAACTTAACTTCTCTTCCTGCCCAACCACCGGGGCCACCAGGTCCCCTCCATTGACCAGAATCAGTGTCCCAGAAGCTTCCTTCCAGTTCCCTCCCTTAGCTGGATCGTCACACCTGTTGTGTGCACTTTGCCAGTTTAAGGCTCAGAGCAATCTTATTCACCTTCTCTCCCAGTTCTCAAGGGGAAGGGCACCTCACTATCACCTCCAGGTACCACCGACCATGATATTAACCTCAAGTCAATGACAGAAACATTACGTCCTCTGTCGGCAAGGAAATAATATAATACAAGTTTAAAGATGTCCACCCCAAACAATGCCAATAGGAAAAGAAGCATTGTTGAAAAATAAACCACCACTCCAGGTAAACGTTCATCACGCGGAGGGGTCTCATTTTTTTCCCTTCCAGATCGTGCCAAAGTGGTGAGGGGGCTGCCGGACGTGGCCACGATCATGGAAGACAAGGTACTGAGGGTCCCCGGCCCGCAGCCAGCGGTCCCACCCTGGGCTCCCTCCCGCACCCGCCAAAGAGCACGAAACAACAGGGCACTGTGGACCCCAGAGCCCGAGGGCGGCTTCCACCAGAGTCTGGCTTAGCGGCCACCCCTCGATGGTCACACGTGTGGGTGTGGCCTGGGGCGGGGGTGGTGCTGGCCCCAGCTTCACCCCGTCTCTCCAGGGTGCCCCGGATGTCACGGGCTTCGACTCAATGAGCCCTAAAAGCCCTTTCTGGGGTGAAATTATGCAAGTCTAATATTCTAGAAAATAACTGCTCACGTCTTCATGTTGCTCCCCTTGTACCAGGCACTGTTCCATTTTTTAACCATGGAGGCAACCACGTGGAAGAGTGTGTTGTTACTAGTCACGCTTTATAGCTGAGGGAACGGAGGCCCAGAGAGGTTAAGGGACTTGGCTAAGGGCACACAGCTTAAAGGAACAGCGCTGGCTGGGAGTCACCCCCAGACAGCCCAGCTCCAGACTCCGGGTATTTGCCATTATGCTAAAGTGCTCTGCGCCGCGACACTGCTCTCCTGAGCATTTTCAAACTCAATTGTTAACATCTTATGTTAAAGCAATCTAGGCTTATTTGCCTGGTAAAATCATAATGAAATGTACAACAGAAAGCAATAAAGCAAAGTCCAGGCCACTCTAGGGCAGGTCACTGCTCAAGGAATAAAGATCTGAAATTCTAGCAAGCATTCCTCTAGAATACAGTTGAGAATGGAGGGTGTGGGCCTGCGGTAAAATGTCTCCCTTTCGTGTTATTACTTTATGGGTTACAATAAAGCACACGTAATTAACGTGTCACAAGGAGCAACTTGTACTGGGAGCTCCCTGGGAGTGTGAAGGTGATGCCAAGGGTTAGTCCCAGAGGGCGACGGACTGGTCCTTTCCTGTCCTTTCAAACAGACCCTGTGCCTGACCTGCGTCGTCTCAGGAGATCCTGCCCCTGAAATCTATTGGCTGAAGAATGACCAGCCTGTCACCTTCCTGGACCGCTACCACATGGATGTGAAGGGGACAGAGGTCACCATCACCATCGAGAGGGTCAAAAGTGAGGACAGCGGGCGCTATGGTGTCTTTGTCAAGAACAAATACGGGTCTGAGACGGGCCAGGTGACCATCAGCGTGTTTAAGCATGGGGAAGAGGAAAAGGTGCTGAAGATGTGATGGTCGGATTCAGCCGCAGCCTGAGGTCTAGTCTGCATTGGACTAGGAGGGTCAACCAGTGGGTCACAGCCTGGCACAGGCCACGGGGGTGAGACTGGAGGGGAGGGAACAGGGCAGAACCCAGGGCATGGGAGTGGGTGGAGTGGACACACCCAAGTGGAAAAGCAAAGACGGGGTGCTGGGAGGCCTGCAGGATTGCAGGATCAGGACTGGACTTGGACTGGAGGATTTACGTGCTCAACTGTTTCAACTCTAAACTCTCCGTGAGCCTTGCCTTTTTCATCTATCAAATGGGAATTCCTACTCCTAGGGATTGTTTTTGAAAACTCTATGAAATCATGTGTCAGTGGTTCTCAATGGGAGGCAATTTTGTCCCCTAGGAAACAGTCAGCAGTGTCCAAATTTAGGGTTGTCACAACTGTGGGTGTCTACTGGCGTCTAGTAGATAGAAGTTAGGAATGCTGCTAAATATGATAGCTCCCTGCCACGTAGAATCAACCTTAAATGACAACAGTGCTGAGGCTAATGCACCCAGCCATAAACGGATGTATCACCATACCCCTCTTTGAGGATACTGTATTTTCGATGAAGTTCAGCAAACATTCATTTGAAGTCTAGCACATGCCAGGCTTTTGGATGGCACTGGGAGCACAAAGATGTAGGCCCCACCCTCAAGGGCACCTCAGTCCAGGAGAAGAGACAAACCTGGGGGCAGATGACTTCAGGACAAGTCAGATGATCGGAATTCTAAAAGGTCCAGATAAAGTTCCACTGGTGGTCAGAGGAGGGAGGCAGGCGTTGGTCCCAACTAGGGAAGGTGAGCTTTAAAACACCTTCATGGAAGTAGCAGAATGGGTTGTTAGGTCCTAAAAAAATGAGTGGGATGTGGTGATGGTGATGGGAGGAGATTTCGGGAGCAGGGGCTGGTGAGAGCAAAGGTGAGGCGTGGAGGTGATACCTCCTGGGCGGCCTGGGACACCACGTTACAGAGGTCAGACCGTCAGGACTCCCAGCTCAGGGCCTCTGCCTGGCAGGACACATACTGGTTGGCTTTGCTTGCTGGACCTCAATACAGAGCTGGGCATTTCACCACCCTCTAGTTTCCTTGTTTAAAATCAGATGGGGAGGGGAAGGTGTTTATAAAGTTAGAGATGTTTGTTGTAAAATTCTGGATAACCTTGAAAATGAGGAAAGAGAAAATAAAACTCATCTATACTCTCAATACCATCTCTGATTGCTGAAATGATTTCTGAATTTAAAGATAAAATGAATCACTCCTGCATTCACCACCTACAGGCGCATCAAGGCATGATGGGTAGCTTATACCCCCAGCAGCTACAGGTGCAGTTCAGGCCAGGTGTTCAGCGATGGCAGTGGGGGGCAAGGGGCCAGGGGTCCTGCTGTGCCTGGCTGGGAATCAATATGGAGAATTGAGTGGGTCTTGGAGGCAAACACAGCCAGGCTTGAAGCCAAGATCTCTCTGTGTGATCTTGGCCATTTATTCCCCCTTTCTCTGGGCCTTGATTTTTCATCTATAAAACAAATCTGAAAGATAATTTTTGAAGGCCCTTTCAGCTGACACTAATATTTTGATTACTTCCCAGAACTTGGTTCTCCTTTGCTTTTCTCTTCTGATGACGATGTGATGAAGAAAAAGGTCTGCCCTCATTCACTCTCCCAGTCTCATACTTGGAATCTCAGAGGAGAGACTCAGCTTCTTTCATTTGTCCATGAAAACTGTTTCAAATTTCAAAGAAATGGGGAAGCATGGTATCCATGCACTTTATTCCTAAAACCAGAGCGGCCTGACATATGCTTACATAGGTTCTTCATCTTCATACAGAGCACCTCCTCTTCTCCTTTGTATAATCATCGCCCCAACACAGGGAGGCAGGCAGACGCTGTGATGGTGACGATAAATCGCATAGGCACAGCACTTAGAAGGTTATGAAGCAGTCTCATGTCTCAGTGCTCATCAGATCCAATGGAACATCATCACTGGCCACATTTTTACAGACATGACAGCTGAGAACCAAAGTGGTACATGGCAGAGTTGGGACAAGAACCAGAGTCCCTGGGTCCTGGTTCGGAGGACGTTCTGCTCTGCTACCCTGCCCCTGATCAATGCAGAAGGGGACACAGAGACCAGGGTCTTCCCTTGTGGCTCGGCTGGTAAAAAAAGAAAGAAAATCCACCTGCAATGCGGGAGATCTGGGTTCGATGCCTGGTTTGGGAAGGTCCCCTGGAGAAGGGAAAGGCTACCTACTCCAGTATTCTAGCCTGGAGAATTGCATGGACTGTATAGTCCATGTGCAAAGAGTCGCACATGACTGGGTGACTTTCACTTTCACTTTACACAGAGTCCAGAGCCCAGAGGTGAACTCTTGCTGTGGTTCTCACTAAATCCCTGAGAATCGCCAAAGTGCTGAGTGAGCAGATCAGTGACCAGGTGGATAAATGGAGGTGGCTTCTTGGCCCCAGTGTCCAGAACAGTAAAAAATTTCTCCACGGGGAAGCAGGAGGCATTACAAGGGTCCCCAGCAAGTTGTCATGTTCTTGCCAGAGAAGCACCTGCCAGGTTGACCCTGATTGAAACGTGGTGTGGTCGCCCCCTGTTGGTGGGGAGTGGGTTTTGCAGTCTAAGGAGCAGCTCAGAAGCGGTGCATCGTTAGACCGGAGATGTCGGGAGCTCCTTGACTTGGTGACAAGCCAATTTGGGAGCAGGAGTTGGTCCCTGCTGTGCCGCATATGGACAATTTTTCTTTGTCCAGTCTTCTTGGATAGGGTGTCCTGCCTCCTGGAGCAATCTTGCTGAAGACCGGGGTCCTCGCTGTCCTTGTTCGCTCCGCTCTCTTTTCTCTGCTCTACCTTCTACAGAAGCCAGGCCCAGCCAGTTTTTCCATTGGGTCCCCACCTAGGAGGGCTGTGGACCGGGAAGGTCAAGGGCGGGGCAGTGGGGATGGAGGTCCCTAGGACTTTTCCCTTTTCCCTGTCTCAGCAACTCCCGCTTAATCCCAAGTAAACTTCAAGTACCACTCAGGTGGGAGAACTAGCGCTACAACACTGCGCATGCATGCGCATGGTTAGTCGCTCAGTCGTGTCCGACTCTTGCGACCCCATAGACTGTAGCCAGCCAGGTTCCTCTGTCCATGGGATTCTCCAGGCAAGAATACCAGAGTGGATTGCCATTTTCTTCTCCAAAGGATCTTCCCAACCCAGGGATCGAACCCAAGTCTCCTGCATTGCAGTCAGACTCTTTAACCACCGAGCTACGAGGGGGGAGAAAGGGCCTTCCTAAAGAATATCATGATAAAATTTAAAAAAAAACTTTCTGTCTGGTCTTTGTTTTTGGTTTGGAATATATAGCTCCTAAACCCTTGGGATCTCCAGGGTGGGGTCTCCAGACGGATCTTCAGACAAAAGAGCATCTTTTGTATGCTAATGAGATGGTTGGTGACTGGGGGCCCGTAGATAGCTTCACGATTGGGAGTTGGTCACCAGAAAGATCAAGGTAGGACTAGAGGGTTGGAACTTTCAACCCCCCAGCCACCTCCATTTACCCTCTGGAGAGGGGAGAGAAATGAGAGATTGAGTTACTCTCTAATGGCCAATGATTTAATGAATCATGCTTAAGTGCTGAAACCTCCACTAAAAATGGCTGAACGACAAGATTTGGGGGGCTTCTGGGTTTGTGGACAAATGGAGGTGCTGGGAGGGTGGTTCACT